CCCCAAAACCCCAAAACCCCAAAACCCCATATGGTTTATATTATCTTGAGATAAGATTAAAAGATCAGTGATAAATAAATTGCTTAAATTAGCTAAATTATTAATCTTAAGAGGTCTATTTTACTCTTTAATCATCATTCATAATAATATCATAATTCGAATTAATCATGAATTTTTTTAAGCTAATGCCATTTGCTTTAATTTTCTTCATCAAGCCTAAAATATAATCCTTTATACAGTTCTCTTATCTATTCCTTCCGATTTATTAGAAGTCAAATTGCAAATATTTAATTTCCCGTCCTTATTAAAGATGTACATCCCATAGATATTTGCGCATCTATGGTAAGTGTTATTCTAGACTATTACTCTTGCTTGCATTGTAATACAGTTAATTACACCTATAGACTTCGCATCCTTATAAAAGATATAAGGATAATTTTCAGAAAAGTTGTCAGGCTTGATTAAACAATTAAAGTTCAAACTATTTGATGGATTCTGTATCTCCACCATTACATCTCTTTTTACATTTTTATCAATAATTTAGAATTTTTAGCTCTTCAAGCATAAGATGAACTAATTTTGATTTATTTACTAAACACAAAAAACTGGTTAGCCAATTAATCTATCCTCTTCACTTTGTTCTTATATTTAAATTAAATCTTCTGAATGCGCAGAAATATTCTCTTTTTAATTTTCGATATAGCTTACTCGAATAAAGCTCAATTTTCCTTAAATATATTACCTATTTTCTAAATGAGCAAATGCCAAACAAATTTCATTTTGACTAGAAACCTAAAAACCATCATTAATGTTAAATCCGCAAGAAAGCTACTTTTACAAAATAATACATTCCTATTAAGGATCATAAAACTCTATGAACCCTTATTTTTCTAGAAATACTATCATTAGCTATTTATTTGGGAATTCTGTTTCATAACTAATAATTTTCTAAACATTCTCATTAGTTTTTACTTCACCAACAACTTCATAAGAATTAAGATCAACAATTATTACAAGTTTGTTTTAAGCTCCACAAAAGATGAATTGACCAAACTCAAAAATTGAGATTATTTTATGTTCAAAATTAAGTACTTCTGAATTTGCACTCAAATCATTTTACAATAACAAGGCTTTCGATATGTCCTACCCTATGATTATCTTATCATCTTATGAATTAGCATAAACAGCTGTTTAAATAATAGCAGAATCCAATATTCTCTCATATTCTATTTTATACTTTTAAAAGCGTAGTCCATCTAGTGGGTCATTTTTAGCAAGAGTGTTTTGATTTTATAAAATACTGTTTCTTTTAGGATTCTAAAACTACCACAAATTCAGAATCTAAGATTCAGAGTAAACTGAGTCCTATAATTTGCTAACGTCTAATTTATCTTTTATAAATGACTAATTATTGGCATTTTTCTCTAAGAGTTCAGATTAGAATGAATTGTCAATTTAATCAAGAATATTTTGCTAAATAGCATATTCTTTTTTATCAAAACTAATTTCTGACTTGATATAGCTATAAATAGATTGGCTTTCTTATAGTTTCTATTCAAGAGGATCAAGCATATTAAGTTTTATATTTTTCATAAGATTTTGACTGATTTAGTTTTCATTCTGATCTTAATTTTAGATATTTTCGTCTTAATTCGAATTTTGTTCGTTTTAAATTATATAATCGAATGTTCTATCAAAATCTATTTTATTTTTAATAAAATTTGATATACTATCCGATTTTTATTCTTCTCCAAATAAGTTTATTTCTATTTAATTTGAGTTAGTCTAAAAATTCTAATTTTCTTCTCTAATATGATTTTATGAAGGTAATCTAAAGCTCTAATTTTAATGGTCCTCTCATGATTATTAATTATTGGATTAACTATGATTGTAAATCATTTTAAAATTACCAGGAAGTCTAATTTTTACACGCTATTAATCTTATCTTTAGGGTTAAATTTCTTGCTTTATTTCTTCAAGTACCATTTCCTTCTTTTCATCTTAAATTTATTATTTTTCTGGTTAATTAGGGACTATTTACTCTTTTATTTCCTCAGAGCTAGTGTTTATCATTTAGCTATCCGTCATTTATCCCTACCTTTTTTCCTTTTCATTCTATTACTATATCTAATTAGAAGCCAGCTGTTTAAGAGACAAGTTTTCTAAATGCTTCTAAAATATCTTTTCAATTTTTTCTTCAGTAAATTACTCAGAGATTTCCTTCCTCATTTAACTAATTAACTCTTTGTCTCTAAATATTGTTAAAGCTTAGTTAAATTGTTTCTAATTATCTTTCTCTTTTCATTGATCCTCTTAGTTTTAATTAATAAGGATAATTTAAAGATCTTCATGTTAACTTTAGATTATATATTTTAGATCAGATTGCTCATTTATGATAGAGTGAAGCTTTTGGCTTAGTAATTTTTCCTTCTACTCATAGTTAGATATTAGTCTTTCCTCGACACATCTCAATTCATTACTCAGTCTATCGATCTAATCAAGAGCTCCATGAGCATCAAGTTTAGGCTATGGTTTGAGCATTTTAGACTTGATAATTGAAAGTGACTAGACTTGTTGAAATTGATTTTATTCCAATTTCTAATTAGCTATCACTTGATTATGACTAATATTCACAAAATCAAGGTTAGATCTGATTTATTAAATAGGAATATGCTGCCCCAGTTAGTAAGGATTATTAGTAATTGATAAAGCTTCAATTTCATCGTCAATATCATGCCCGCTTACACTTTTTGCAATCCTTGAAAAAGTTGAAGCCCCCAGAAAAGATGTCTTTAGGTGCAGCATTAGCTTTTATGCTCCACTTATGATTGAATCATGCACTTTTTTCCTTTATTATTTGTCTTTTTACTCCATAGATGAAGTTGAAATAATTTTATCCATTATCTCATTGAGTTTTGCTTTGAGAGTTACTACATCTTTTATTTTTAAGAGAAGCCCTTCGCTCATTTTTAGGATTTACAAATTGATCAATTAGAGTTAAAGATAATAGTTCTTATTTATTAATTAAAAGAAATATATTCTCAGCAGCTTTTTAAATTAAATATCATATTATTTGTAATAATCAGCATTAAAACCCAGGGGTTTTGGGGTTTTGGGG